GTGTGCTAAGAATGTACTAATTTTGTGTACTCAAAGTAAGTGATAGAAAACTATTCCAGGAGTCTTTCATTACATTTAAGGTGCAAGTCTTTATTAAGGAGTTTCTTGGGACACAGGAATGAGGGAAGTGGGAGGAAGGCAGAAAATAAGGAGAAGCCCAAATAAGAGACACTGCCAAAGTGGCCTCTGCTCAGTGCAATGTGTAATGGGATTCCCCACACAGGGGACCCACCCCCTGAGGTCCTGAGGACTCTGACAGGAATGCCCAGCCAGGAAGAAGGGGAGAGGGTGGTACCCACCAGGGCTGACTCCCGTCACCCATGGGCATCAGCTCTTAGCATGATAGGGCTGTCTGTGTGTGGGTTGTGAGATCTTCCCACAGTCACTGTGGGACACTGAGAAGCATAAAGCAGTGCCCAGTCAGGCTGGGCTGTCTCCAGTGCCTGTAGTGGCAGCTGGAGTGGGACCAGTGGTCCAAGTCCTTGGATGCATGGAAGCAAGAGTGTTTAAGTGGGGCAAGAATGGTCCGACACATGAGAACTCATGTGTGGAGTGTGCTCCTTACTAGCATGTATTTTGGGGCAGACATAAACTTCTTATTCAACTATTTGTTTCTTCATTCATTAGTCAATTCATGCACCTATTGTATACCAATACTGTGATATGCAAAGTCTTGCATAACATCTTAAAGTCACCCCTGTCTTCCTCCCTGGGGCTCCCCACCCTGCCTTACACGTTGTGCATTTCTTCCTAAGAAGGACCAACTGTCTTCCTTAGCCTTCCTAAGGAGCATTGAGATACACATCAATGGCACACTGCTTGGTGGATCTGGAGTAGAATGCATCCCTTCCAAGAGGAAAATCTCTCCTGTGCATATGAGCACTATTTTCCATCACCACTGTACTCTCCACCCATGGGGTGAGGAACTTCCTTGTGTGCCAAAGACTGTGTGCCCACATTTCAGAAAGGGATCCAGTACTATAAACTTAGTCTCCACAAGAAAAGCAGGTTGCAGAGCTTGCAAATGCCTCAGACTCTTCAAATGTAGGGGATCTTGGTAGGGAAGAATATGAAGGCAAATCTTATGGCCTAAGAAGTGGTAATTCTTTATATCTGTGCTTCACCCATTTATTATCTCATTTGACTATGACCCACTATGACTACAGCCATGGCCATGGATTGGTTGTGCCCAGGTGGAAATTGAGGCTGAGAGATTACATAAATCAGCCACTACAAGGTAGTTCTCAAGCACAGCCATATGTGCTGTTGTTGGTTGTCTTAGTTACTGTTCTCTCATTGTCAAAACAGAACAGCCAACATTTTAACAAAGTTAAAGGGGGAAAGGTTTATTTAGCTCACAGTTTGTAGAGGTCCGCTCATAATCTGCTGGCTCCAAGGTAGGATGGCACGGCAGACAGGGATGGTAGAGGAGAAACAGTTCATGGAGGGCAGAAGACAGCAAAGCGAGCAAGAGGGGCAAGACAAGCCTCTTTCTGTTCCTTATGTTGTATCCAGGCTCCTGGGATTAGGGCAATTCCAAACCTGTTAGTGGATGGATTTAGTAATCATGCATCCTTAATCTCAGCACCACACACTCTAGGTTCAGCCAGCCCTGAAAAAGCCCCACCTATGACTGCATGAGGCTTTAGGGGGACATCTAGATACAAACCATAACACTGTTGTTGAGTTTTGTCTGGTTTATATTTTGTTGGTTTGTTTTGGTTTGTTGAGAGAGTCTCGCCATATAGTTCAGGTTGGCTTTGAACCAACCAAGGGATACTCTTGCCTCAGCTTCCTGAGCACTGAGATTGTAGGCATGTGCCACCACACCTGGCAGTGTCATGTTTTGAGATTGGCCATCACCGTTGTCCTAGAACCTAATGCCATTCAGTGGCCCTTCCTGCTGAGGTCTGTCCGTCATCCCCAGACCATCATCTCATTGTTCCCTTCGATCCACACTGGCCGCTTGGGAGGTGCAGGGTCTTAGGACCCAGGAGTTTCGCCTGAGGTGCTTTAGCTCTCTGAATATTGTCAATGGGCAAGGTGCCAGTGCTCAGGGCTCCATTGTCCCCTCCTGTGCTCTCCCCCAGCCCTCCCCTTCCTCCCTCACCTACCCAGAGCCGGTGCCCTCCCAGTAAATTCTGTGTTTTTCCATTCCACTGAGTGCAGCCTTTACGTTGATTTGGGTGCAAGCAGCTGCAGGTGCCTCAAGTCATCATGTGCTGTCCCCCCTCGCCCGCTGCAATGTCATCCATGTTTACTTGCTGCTCTGGACTTTAGATTCTGTCAGCGTGCCAATCGGCGGGCCCGCCAGGCACCACAGCTGACAGTCAAATCTGTGGAGCCGAATCCTTCTTCTGGAAAAAAGGGCTAAAGAGGTTAATACACTGAAGTCAGGATAAACACACCAGCTGTTAGAGTTTCTAATATTTAATATCATTATCAGATAAATAACTTGGGAAGCAATCACACACACACGCACACACATACACACACCGCACAAAACCTATGGCACATTGCTTCCTTGACAGTGGTTACAGAGAATATTAATAAATTATCTTAAAAGCCCCCACAGTGGGAAATGGCTGGGGCACAATTAAGGAGCATTTGCATACATCCTGCTTCTGGTCTCTGCCCCTGTCAGCCCCGGAGAGAGGAACTGGAAGAGGAACATGAGCCCACAGTGAAGCCTCCCCACCTGGTTAGAGTGTATAGTTCTATAACCTTTGGTTTTGCCTCGGATGGTTGATCTCTCCCTATTATTAAATATCCCGCAGTTCTCTCTACTTACACAACGCAAGATGAATCTGTCTTGCTTAAGGGAAATAGGTGTTCAGACAAACCTTGGCATTAGTAACCTGTTTTGTGGATAATGGATTATTTAACTGACCACTAAATCATGTTCCCTCTTCTTTACACTTCAATCTACTTTGTGCATCCATCTTAGCCAAAAAAAGTTATCAGCATCTATCTTTCTTTCATGGATCTCGCCTTCCGATTCCCTGAACTTGCATGCCGGGGCCGGGCAGGACAGAATTTGAATGGCTTGTTAACTGTGTCAGGAAATTGCGAGTTCACTTTTTTTTTTTGCCCCAAATCCCTGGCTTCAGTTCACCTGGGCTACAGGAAGAGATAATGATGATCACCACATTTGGGGGGAAGACGGAACATGGGCTAATTCTTTTAAGGCTCCAACAGAATGTTTTCCAGGTCACAAAGCACTGGGTGAAATGAGCTCCATATCTAGTTTATGTTGAATATTATAAGAGAAGCTGCTATCGGTAACTCTGTGAAGGTTCCATGAGCATTTTTTTTTAGATAAAGCCTTCATTTCAAGGGGCCAGGGTTGAGCTATTTCCCTTCTCATCAAGCAGAAACCTGGCATCCTATTTGTCTGTCCAGATGTATTTTTGTTTGGATTTTTACACTGTTTGATTGAGATCAAGTCATGAATTTCTGCACTCTGGATGGGCAGAGTAATGACAATTTATGAAGTCTGAGGATGCATGTTGTTTAGCTCAAAAGCACAGCCAGATGAATTTGGTGACAGGACGCGCTGCACGGCATGGCGACAGCCAATATCTGGGGCAATTTCTCTTTTACAAACTTTGGAAAATCAGCACAGGGAGAGTCGAGTTTTAATCATCTCCTCTATCCAGGACTGTACAGTGGGGTGGATCACAGGGAAAGAATGCCAATAATTTGAAAGAGGCTCTGATTGGACTTGCATGGCAGTTTTCCTATCTACATCGCATTTCAAGGCTGCCATGATGACCGGACTGTCCACATGCTTTCCGGCAGTGCTCAGATCATGGCTCCTCATGCGTGGCTTCTGTCCACACATCTGCCCTTGGCTCCTTATTAAAACTCCTAAAGTCGGTGCCCCCTGGGTTTGCCCTCCAGCCAGCTTCCCTGCTTGTGCAGCACATTTCTCATGTGTGTGGAGTATGGGCAGCCAGGAGGACAGCATGAGGCAAGGATGGTGACCCTCCCCGAGCCCCCGAGCCCATGAGGTTCCGGAAGGTGCCTCACAGAGGCTCAGGGGAGGGGAGGGCGTGGATTGGAGGAGTTGCCTGATGTTCAGATCTTCCATAGGTGTTTCAGGTTTCTATTTTTATTCAGAACTGTCTGGATTTGAGGTGGGACTGTGGCGTTGATCATGGGGATCAAAGAGAGGAGGGGAAGGAAGACGAAGTGGTAGGAGAGAGAAAGGGGAGAAAGAAAGAGCAAAAGAGGAGAAAAGGGGCAGGAAGGGAAAGAAGGGGAGGCAGCCAGAAGGAGAGAGGCAGGGAGCAGGCAGGAAGGGGTTAGGGTGAGAACCAGGTTGGTTCTGAAATGCAGAGCCGTGCTCTCTCTGGTGAGGATCCAATGCCTTTGCACACATGTATTCTGCCCAACCTGCCTCTTACTCTTTTGCGCACCACCAGCTCCAACTCGTGTCCGGAGTCTCGACTCAAGCCTTCCCGACTACCTAGCACTACGGCGCGCGCTCTCTCCTCTCTGCTTCCTTTCCTTCCTGTCCAGCTTCCCTCTCTGCCTTGCTGTCTCCTACAGGGAGGAAGTGAGTCTCTGCTCCACAGCTTCCCCAGCGTGCCAGCCCATCCTAGGTTCTCAAAAATGCTTGTTGAGTGAATGAATGAATGAAAATAGGAAAAATAAGCAACAGCAAGAGAGGTATCAAGTCCAAACGCAACTGCAAGGTCTCTTCTGCAGTAAATTTTGTTTCAATTAGATGCCATGATCACCGTTTACCACTAATAATAGGTATGCCTAACTACGTGAGAAGAATGGACAATCAGTAGAATGCATGATCAGTCTCAAGAGATTTTTTTCTATTCTAACAAGGGATGCCTATAATGCTCTTCTAGAAATAGAAGCTACGTGCTATTAATGTGCAAAATGAAGCACATGCTAAGGACAAGCAAAGTAGAAGCTGAAAGCAGTTGCTTTTAAACAAATACACAGGTAAATATTTGAAGTAGCCTGTGAGTAACTGACCTGGGAACTAGGACCTGTGCAGTCTGAGTGGCACTGACCTAAGGGCCGTGTTGGCTTCTGGTATCTGATCTTTCCGAGGTCTCCTTCTACTGACCAGGTCAGTTTGGAAAACAGGAACCACATAATGAGATTCCTTTCCTTTCTACCCAACTTCCTCTTCCTTCCAGTCTTTTTCACCTGGCTTGATTTCCAGAACCATGGAAGGTGAGAAAGGACTGCCTGTCCCCTTCCTGGTTGGGGACTTGGGAGACCGGGGAGCTGGTGGCATTTGCTTGAGGTACTGTGAGGGACAGGAAATGTGGATGCAGGAGACAAGCTCCTTAGAGGGATCAGGTCCTCCATTTCCATCTTTCAAGACATAGTGGTGGGGTACAGAGAGGGGTGCCCGGGGGACAGTGTGATTATCTTCAGGGTGACAAAGAAACAAGCTGCTTAAACAAGAGGATCAAAACTAGACATCCAGGAAAACTTAGGGTTTCCAGGATGATTTAAAAAACAGAAACGAACCAGCAAGATTCTCGGTGAGTTTCATGTTCCTGCAAGGATTTTCCTCCATAGAATTCCTGATGCCTGACTCCTCAATTCTTCATTGTAGGCAGGGAAAAGCAAGCAGGCATGGAAGCCTTGCTCTGAATTCTCAGTTTCCCTCCGGTTTGTGGACCACGCTTCATTTATGTGAACATTTCTTTCTTGCAAACATTTTGCTCTTCTTACGGCAGAAGGTGATTTTCCCAGGCTGCTGCTGGAAGTTCCTTCCTGCATATTTTATTCATAGGGATCTGTTATTGGACGTTCCTTCCTGAAAGAGCCCAAATTTGCCCTGAGGCATCAGATGGAGTACTCAGATTGTCCAATGTGTCTCCTAATTGAAGTGAACATCGCCACAATATTTGCCGACTGGAAATAAACAGCCCCAGCGAAGTAGCAGGTTTGTAACCTTCATGCGCTTGTTCTGGTCTTGCTGAGAGTTGAGAGACACATACAGAGAAAGAAGCGATTTTTCTCATAAAAGAAGACAGGAGTGGCTGGGCCAGGGCAGTGGGTGGGGCAGGGAGCGAGATTTATTTCCAGAGCTGTCTTCGGCCCTTTGTTCTCCCTGCCCTTCTGGGGCGCCTCCTCCCCCCACACCCAAGGGTCTGGGATCAGCCCGCTGGACCCTCTGCTCAGCAGGCTGTGCTCTGACTGTGAGGGATACAAAGTGAAATGGAGAAGAAGTTCTAAGGGAGGCCTGCGTGACCGTCGGTATCTTGTCTGTTCCCAGTAGCTCACGAGCCCCAGCGAACTCAAGAGCTCTGGCTCCACAGGAACACTCAGACTTAGCTGGGAGCAGTGGTGCACACCTGTAATCCCAGCACTCAGGAGGCTGAGGCAGGAGGATCACTGTGAGTTCAAGGCCAGCCTGAACTACATAGCAAGACCCTCTCCCAAAGAAGCCAAGTTGGCCTTGGTCTCCAGTGCCCTCTAGCATGGCTACCTTGGGGAGTGTATGCTCTTGGGGACAGGAACGGAAGGGCAAGTTCAGGCGCCTCCTGGAGTACTGGCATACTGGGTCCCTTCTGGCCAAACGCAGGTGGCTGAGTATCCTGCTCCATCTCACCCGCCCCCCCACTTCCTGGCTACCCGGAAGAAGCTGATCTGAAGGAAATCACTTCCTTCTAGTGGAGGCCCCCTCCCCCTCTGCTCCCCCCTCCTTTCCCTAGCCCTTTCCAGCCATCGGCCCCTGAGGGCCGCAGCACAGATAGCCTCCCCCAACTGCCACCTGCTAGGGTGCCCCAGACCTGGACTAGGGAGCTGCCACCTCCCACTCTCCTCTTCCTCCTCTTCTTCCTCCTCCTTCTTTTTCTCCTCCTTTCCATTCTGCAAGTATGTCTTCGTAAATTGTCCAAGTTGGGCTCCAACTCTCTGTCCTCCCACCTCAGCCTCCCAAAGTGGTAGGGTTACAGGGGTGAGCCGCCACACTCACTCCACCTTGACACTTCTTTCTTGGAGAGCAGAGCACATCCTTCCCTGCCTTTTCAGGGAAGAAGAGAGGCGCACACAGGAAGCCTCCGTAACTGCTCAGCTCTGGTCAGGTCACGGCCAGCTCTTCTCCCTGGGTGCTACCCTCTGGTTGTGCAAGACCAGCTGATGAGCTCTGGCCCTGCAGCCACCCACCCCAGGCCCTCACCTGCCTCCCACTGCCAGCCCCGACCTTTTCAGAACTGGTTGACCGAGGCCGCTGCACTGTGAAATCATTCCTGGTCACCAGCTTCCAGGGACACTAAGAAACAACATCTGATGTCATTTGTGGGTTTTATTCTTTGCTTTCAGTTATTTGTTGTTTGGGATTAATGTAAACCAAGTGGTGGTGGAGATGGGGACGCAGCAGTCTCTGTGTTTTAGGTTTGAGGGCTCCTTGTGGATCCGTGGCTTTTGTCCACTTGAGGAATTCCAAGCCTAGATGCACAGACTGAGAGAAGACCGAGGGAAGTGTCTTGGAGTGGGGGTTAGGTCGAAATATGATCCCAAATGTTCGTAGGTTGCCACTCAACAGCCTGGCATATCTAAGTGTTAGTCTAGCACTGTAGCTAATGGGACTCAACTTCCCCACCTGTCTTTCTGGGGAGAGAACTGAATTTGTAGAGGCCAGGGTTTGACAAAGACTTATTTAACTTTCCATTGTTTTTGGCTCCTGCACCTTAAAAATGTGCAACTTGTGAGATTCGAAAAAGGGAAAACAAATAAAAGGAAGTGTCAGAGCTGAGGAAGCCATTGCTCCTTTTGGGTGAAATCATCACACAGTATGTAGGTCCTTCCCCCAGGACATTCCTTGTGGATCGAGACTGGAAGGAAAGATTGGCTTTTCCAGAATGTTCCCCAATGGAAAGGCTGAGTGTGTGTCAAATCCCCTCGTGAAATATGTTCCTACGTGGGAAAAGCTTTGAGTCTCTTCCCATGGACTTCCTGATAGGCAGATTTAATTTCTAGTGTTTTTGTCTTCCTTGCTGTCTTCTCTACAGCCCTCGTCAGGAATTTAGGAAGAGGGGCCTTTGCAATGACTCTTCCTCTAGTCACTCAGGGTTTGGCCCCCACACCGTTCCTGGCCCCGCCCCACACCCCTCTGTCTCCTCTCAAGTGGTCTCTTGGGTTCTGCCTCTGGATCTCTCTTCCTCCTTCTCCTGGCTCCTCTCATGATTTTCTCTGTTACCTTCACAACAATGACTTTACATCTCTTATCTCTGGCTCTCCATATTCCTTTCTCCGGCCTCACATTTTCCGCAGCCTGCGTGTTCCACCAAACCCTCAAAATAACCAAAAACCATTTCATTCTATTTGTTTAAATAATGTCCTCCACCCCCATTTCTATGGAAGCTACCAGAACCCCGGATCTCATGTCTCAGTCGCTTCCTCCTTCACGGCACCATAGCTCCTCTCTGTTACCGAGTTCCATGGTTCTCCTTTTGTTAAAAGTCCTTCAGATTCCCATCCTTACGATTCTAATTCAGGCCCCGTCACCCAACACGTCAATTGTCACAATGTCTGCTCTGTTTATTTCTCTAGCACTTCCAGTTTTCTCTATCTTCCTACAAAATTACTTTTTTCGTATAATGCTCCTGCTCAAAACCCTTTAATATCACCCTTCAGGCTAACAACTCTGCCATTTCAGGCCTTTCAGAATTTAGAGCAAATCCCACCTTCCAGGGAACATCCTGAGACTCGAGGGCAGACTGGAGACTTCCCCCTGTTGTATCTTCAATGTCTTGTCACCCAACATCCTCATCTCTGCCGCTGTCTTCTGGAACATTCTTCCCGCCTCTGGCAAATCCAGGTCTGGGCCAGACCTCCTTTCAGGTTCCAGGAGGACTTCTTGACCACCCCCCCAGGTGCACACCATTTGGCAACTATTTACAGGGCATGTGCTCTAGGCCACCCGCTGTCCTAAGTGCTGAGGACACCAATGAGAAACAAAACAGCAAATGAAATACTTTCAGGCAGCATTGAATTCTCTTTGTGGAAAGACGCTGAACCTCAGAGAAGAATGTCTTCCCAGAGATCCGGCAGGGAACAACAGTGACAGCATCACAGATTCCAGCATCTGATCATGTCACTCGCATTCTTCCTGTGCCTGTATTCCTTGTTTCTGTTACCAAATGCTGAATTCCCCAAAGGCAGGCCACTGGTCTCTGAGGTTTGTCCTGCAGCTTAGTACCCTCCTGGGCACATTGCAGGTGCTCAAATGTTGGCTGTCAGCAGACGGGCAGACAGCAGACAAGCAGAGAGCTGTTGCTGTTCAGTCACAGAGGCAGAGCCCGGGTTCACTCTCCCATGTACCCTGTTAGTGTCGCAAATACAACTGCATTAATTAGACCACTACAAAGTTCAGGGTTAATAATCATGCTGTCGGGGCCGGCAGGCATTTATTTTCCACTAAGTTTGCCTTTCCAGTGGCAAACTCTTGGACTGTGAGTGAGGGCCACTCAGTGTCCGGCTGGCTCCCACTCCTGACAGTGACAACAAGTGGAACAAGACGTATCTCGGTAGAGATGAGGCTGGGCAGGGTCGAGACAATGCGTGCAAGACAGTGTGAGGCAGAGGACTGGTCAGAGAAAGACCCACCCTCTTCAGGAAGAAGAAATGGAGACCATGGGAGAGAGAAGGGAGTGAGGGCGGATGAGGGGAAATTCATCACAAGTTCCTATTTATAGAAGCACAAGCCCTCATGATAACCCATCTTCAGGGAAAAGAAGGTATTGAAATTGCGTCTGAAATGGTCTCCCTTGTATCTAAATAACTCTCACACTTCCACCCCAACTCTCCATGCACTCCGTATTGAGGAATATAGTTTAGCTAACAAAACCTGTAGAGCGGAATGGCACCCCAACTCTGATCTCCCTTTAAATTATTTTCCATTTACTCTAAATCCTATAGTATGGCATAAAACTTTATTGAATAGCTCATTTGAGCAAAGAATACTTTTGAAAGAATATTAGTAAACTCTTTCAATGAAGTCAAAACACCAAAATGGAAAATTCAAGTTTTGAAGAGAGCCATTAAGTGTGATTAAACCTTTAAAAGGGAGAGAACAACGCCTGCAGAACTCTATTTAGCCATTTCATGTCTTTAATTGTCCAAAGATTTACTTTAAAAGCACCAACATGAAAGGATGTTGAATATCGCAGTATTTCGAGAGGGGGAGCAAAGCTAGACCCCCCGCTCACCAGCAAATGGAGCTCAGCCCAGAAGTAGGGACAACAAAAGCGACGGGACCTGCTTCCTTCTACAATCTATATCGAGAGAGGGAAATAAAAAGGCAGCGATTCTTGACTTTGCTTTGAGGAGTACAATGGGCGTGATGAGGGATGTGGTGGGAGCTCACTGAAGTAGCAGTAGCATCCACCAGTTCGCTGGTAATTGGGATGAAAACTGAGCGGAAAGAAGCTGAGACCAGGGAGCTGTGGGCCTGGGAGGATGGGGATTGGGGAAGGGGATTTGCAAGGTAGGTTTAGAAATCTGAAAATCACTTTGGGAGCTAATCTTACTCAAGCCTCTGAGACCTCGATTCAATAATATGGGAATGGACCTAGGAGTCTGTATTTTCAATAACATTTCCAAAGCAAATGGTGCTGCTGATGGCCCACGGTCCATCACAGAGGTTGTCCAGGGCCAAAAGGAAAAAATCTCAGAACAGAGACCTGGCAGGGGAGAGAAAGCCTTGCCCTGTGGTGGCACCCAAAACCCAGCTTTCCTGCCCTTTCCTCATTCTCACAGGCACACGCAAGCACAGACAGAGGCTGGTGGCTGGGTTCTAGGACAGAGCCACAGCACAAGGTGGGGGGGGTGTTTGGGGAAAAAGTAGAGGGGGAAGTGAGGTAGAAAGAGTGACAAGGAGGGAAGAAAAAGAAAATAACACAAGAAGCACGAACTACAGCACAGTCACAAACTGAGCATCTTTTACATTGCCTCAATTAAAAGTGAACAAAGTTATCTGATAATATACTTTGATACATATGGACAGTGCTTTTAGAAATAAGCGGTCATGTCTGTGGCCAGGCACCAGTGAAGTAGACATGGAAATACACAGAAGTAGAACAGAAATGCATAAAGTTGCGTACTTTTAAACCGGAAAGCGGTCCATGGTTTCCAGCTTTCTTCTGCAGTTTTCTATTTGAGCCTTCAAGTCCGCCTCCAGGAGGGGAGGGACACCAGGTCAGGAGGCTACAACCTGAGTATCTGTTCCAGGTAAGTTTTGATTTGAACATAGAAGTGCTGCTCAAATAGGACTAAAAAAAAATCCTGACTCTAAACAGGGTGTGTTGTGACCCCTGTAATCCCAGCACTCAGCAACGTGAGTCAGGAGGATCTCTGAGTTTGAGGCCAGCCTGGAATACATAGCTAGAGAGATCCCATCTCAAAACAACAAAATCAAACAACGCTCTTCCTCACCATTTCCTTCAGGTTTGAGACAACACCGGCGAATGTGGTGTTACAGTCGTTCGGTGTGTTTGTGGTGGTGAACATAGGGCCCCTTGCTCCTGGTCCAGTGGGCACCTGGGCCCAAGCAGCCAGCTACTGCTGCTGGCACTTGTCAAGCAAGTGTATTTTACAAGACATTGATTGTGTATGGCCAGAACATTTTAGGGGCGTGATTGAAGCAGTGTCCTCTCTAGTGTGCAACGTCTCAGGCCGTCATTCTGCCTTCTTTCTGTGTAGGTGCGATCTCATGAATTGAGTCGGCATGAACATTAACATTTGGGTCTGACGGAGTGAGAACCGTTTGTTGAGCATGAGCACGACGGGCAGGATGTTTCACCGCTACAAACTCTAGCCCCTTCCCTTCCAGGTGGGCAGATTCCCTTCAGTTATCCACAGAGAGGACAGAGGCCCAGCGAGCTTGACTCAGGTGCAAGTAGGGTGACAAATTAAGTCTGGTCAACATCAGAGCCCGAGTTGTTTGTACTGAATTACATCTCTCCCCTGATACTGGGATCCTTGTAGCTCTTCGTGTCACCCTTCTGCAGGGAGAGACTCACGCTGTGCCGGTTCTAGTGTATGTGCTGTCATTAGGAGGGGAGTTGGTAGATTAAAAAAATCAAGAGAAAAATGTTTCAGTTGGAAAGGACATTTAAACCCACACATCCAGGAAGTTCCATTTCAGTACTATTAGGGGCTGTTCCTGCCGTACCTGACTCATAAGCAGTGTCCCTTGGGAGGAGCACGTCACTTCGGAAAGATCATCACGGGCTTCCACTTGAGCCCATAATTCCAGCCTCCTGGGTTGAGTGAGGACAGTGTAAGCTACTCACTAAGGAGAGGGTTTCAGGCCTTCTCTCCTCCCCTCCCAGGTCCATGGACTTCCACAGGATGCAGGGAGGGGGCCAAGTGTTGTGAGGTTCAGAAGGGGCATTTGGGCTGGAGTTCCACGTTCTTTGTCACCTCTTTTCTTCTACCTCTTACAGAGATGGTGGATAGTAGAAAGTCCAGAAAATGGATAAAATAGTACTTAGAATCCCTACTGCCTAACACATCTATTTTCATGCTGGCAAATTCTACTGTCATTCTTTGTCTTTTGCCTGAGGTGAGCCGTGTTTCTGTTGCTGGGACAAAATACCTGATGTATATACTTTAAAGGAAAAAAGGTATTTGTTTTGGCTCAAGGTTTCAGAGGTTTCATTCCACAGTTGGGGGGCTCCAAGACAGGAACATCATGGTGGAAGGGCGTGTATTAGAGGAAAGCTGCTTGGTTCATGCTCAGCCAAGGAAGCAGAGTGAAAGAGAAAGCAAGAGAGGAAGGAGCCGGGGACCAGATGAGTCACACCTCCACATCCCACTCAGATCCACCCAATATGCTTTACTTATCTCCTAAACAACTCTCATGCCAATCAAGTTGCCAGTCAAGATCAACCATGCCATCTTCTTAGTTACAGTCCACACGGATACATACTTGGTGTCCTGACCTCTCACTTCACTACACGTCAGAGACTTTATCAAGGAAGCGTGTGGTCAACATTGCTGGTTTTCTCTCCGTTCCCTTCTTTACTTTCACTACTTGGTTCGTCTTTCTTTGTCCCTCACCTTCCCTCTCTACTCTAGTTTTCTTCTCCCTTCACTGATCTGAAGTCTGCCCCAGGTTTCTGGGATTCCTGGGAATAAGGATGCTGCTGGGTTGCACTGGTTTGTAGCGGTTGTACCTGGCTTCTTTTGCAGGAGTGCATGGGTGAAGTTTCCAAGGAGTCTCTGGTTGTGAGTCAGTCTCATGCCAGATGGTTTCCTAGGGGTACACTGAGGCCGGAGAGTGGAAGGAGGGGGATTGAGTGGTTGGAACAATGAACCAGACCCCAGAGCAAGAAAAGGGCGACATCAGCTCAGTAATTGTGGGGCTGGGGTAAAAAGAGGTCATGCATTTCCCCAGGAATCAAGGGTGAAGCGCTTCCCACCTATCAATAATCAAATAATAATGGCAATAATGATTTGGATGGATCCAAGCCACTCTGGAGGAGGGTAAAATGTTCTGAAATCCCCCATCAACATCATTTGGTCCTAAGAAAGATGCATAGACTCCCAGGAGCAGCACCTTATATTTACAGTTTTTTAAATCTACAAAGGACCTTTGTATCACCTCTACCCACAAAGGCAAAGAAAATGTTCTAGACGAACCGTTAGGGAAGCTGCCATTTGACAATAAGAGATTAGCTGAAGTCTATACTACGAAGCTTCCACCGGAGCAATTAACATAAACACTTTACAACGATAAGCATTTAAAGAGGGGCCAAGTATGCAACTGGAAATCTAAAAAGCAGCTAAGGTGTTGCTGGAGAGGTTAGCATGAATGCACGTGAACATTCAAAAGATGGAAAGGGAAGACATCTAGGGGTCTTCTTGATGAGAAAACATCACCAGCTCCCCACACTCTGATTAAAGTAAATTGCGATTTTACAGTACTTCTTTGTGGTGCAATTTCCTTGGCGATTATTATATTAGAGTGACACTTCTATTGAATTATATGTTTCAATTACTATTAAAAAATTCAAGTCCTTAAGTTCGAGCAAATTATGAATGCAGCTTCTGGAGAGCTCTACCTCTGACATTCCAAGGATAGCATCGTTTATCTCCTTGGCACTTGGGATCCCATTACCGAGGCGTGGGCAAGGAGGGGAGCCCCCATCCACACAAAGGCGTCCAATGTTATCAAAGCACTTATGGTGGATTCGGCCATCTCCGCAATGCGATGTGGTAACCCCAGCTGACCGGCTGCCTTTCTTTGCACAGGACACAATGGCAAATAGAAACAGTCACTCGCCCAGTGTCACAAGAATCCAGCAGCATTCTTCCCTGACCTCCGGAAAGATAATGTGTCATTTGCTGTACAAAAATAAAAGTTTTTCAAAGCAGTTGGAAATATAATTGTGCACACTTCAAGTGCTGAACTGCCTTTCTAGGGTTTGTTTGTTTGGCCCTTTGGAGCGAGAGAATTGGAGACGCTCAGAGAGGTAGCCGCTGACGCTTTTGCTTTTCCTTTCCCACCTCTCCCTGCTTTGCCTGGCAGGGAGATGGAGGGTTTCTCAGCCCGTGTGGTGGTGGGCGGGGAGGAGACCCCGTCACACAGTCCTCCTGGGTCACAAAGCTGGCCACAGCCAGCAAGAAGTCTCTGCCCGGTGCCTGCAAACCCCTGGGGCAGGGCTCGGGGACATCTTCTTGATGGGTGGATATTTACTAGAAGTCAATAGCACCATGGGCTTTGGTTCAATGCTAATGAGGCCAAGGTTATCCAAGGGCCAACTGGTTTCCTTCTGTTCCCTCTGCTATAAACTGCCTCCCATCAGCGGTCAGGCCGCTCACAGATGCAGCGAGGGGGGCTGGAACAGGCAGGAGGCTTCCCTGGACAGATGGCTCCCCAGCTGTTTTTGCCGATGGGTAACTTTTGTTGCCACCGCTCAACTTCCCCTCTAAAGACTCTGTCCTCCAAAGCCGCTCCCCTTCCACACTCCTCAGAGGCAGTGGGGTGTCAGCTGGGTCTCTCTCCGGGTCTGCTCTGAAAAAGGCAGCTCCTCACGTGCAAGTGTCCCTCTTGGGGGACCAGGAGCCACAGCAATGAGAGACAGATGCACAAGGTTCCCGCAGATCCCCATGGGCCCTAGCTGAGCTGTGCTTGGGTGTCTTCAAGGTGACCTTGCCCTGCTGAGCCACAAGTCCCCAGGTGTGGGCTCCCAGGGTAGCTTTATCTTTTGATTTGTGAACTGGGCACCTTGCAGAGTGGGCAGAAGACCCACACAAGGACATTGGGGGTGACCGGGGAAGGGAAGGCACAAGCAAGAGGGGTCCTGGCCACTGTGGTCTATGTGACTGCCGTTGGCTCCTCCGGTCCCTGGGAAATGAGCCATGTTCAACATCACATCCCCAGACCTGTTTCAGGGATCCCGGTCACTCTCCCAGGCTCAGCAGGTCCTGAATCTAGGGCAGCAGCAATAGGAGTGTCTGAATTCTTTCCCTTTGCCCTTGGGCACCACACCCCCTTTGCTTCCCTCCTCTTCTGAGCTGATCCTGCTTCCCAAGGTTACGAGTCTGGGATCTCCAGACATGCACACTACATAGCTGTGCACGGAGCATGTATGGACAGACTCATACATGTGATAAATACACATGGCTTGCTTGGGGCATTTGTCTATATGGCTGTGTGGTTGCCAAGTCCAAAATCTGCAGGACGGGCTGGCAGCCGCAATTTTGCAGTGGGATGTCTTTGTCTCCAGAGATCATGAGTCTGCTCTTGAGGGCTTCCGCTGCTTAGATGAGGCCCACCAGCACTGGGGAGGGTAGCCTCCTTCACTTAAGGGTGCCGGAGTATAGATGTTAAGCACACTTATAAACACAGCCTCAGCAACAGTTATTGATTAAATGACTGGCACTACAGCCTAGCCAAGCTGACACAGAAAGCCATGATGCCAGTCTTCTGTGGACAACTGCTGCATCTCTGTCGTGGGTAAACCATTTCTCAGGGTTGTTCGCTGTGCTTTCAGGAGGTGTGGGTTTTCTCCATCTCCTCTCTCTGTGTCTTCTCTGCTCACATTGTCTAGAGGCAGACTTCTGGGCCTCCTAATTCCTCTCCTCCAGGTTTACACCAGCCTGTGCATTGACATCAGAAGCAGTTCGTTTTCTCCTCAGAAACACCCTGATTAATGAATGCCCTGTAGCACTGTCCATGGTAAGTGGGCTACAGTGTTACCCACCTTGGATAAGAAGCAGGAGAGTTTGGCTTAGAAATCATCTGGGGAAGTCAGATTCCAGTTCTTGGGGATTCTGCTTGGGTGTGGATTCTGCCTGGTTTCAGAAAGCAAAGTGAAGAGTGATCTGATCTCCTTACCTGTACAATCCTCTGGCCAGATCAGTCTGAAAACCAGGCAGTGGGGAAGGTCCAGAAGGAAGCCCTGTGATGCTGTCCCTATGATAAATAGGCTTGGGGGCAGAAGAGACAGGTACATGGAGAGCTAAAGTACAGAGACACTAAAACATGGGAAAGGGAAGCATGAACCTATGCTTAGCTGTCCACCGGCAGAGTTCACGGACATGGTAATCCAAGCCTCGAACTGCAGTCAGTAAAACGTCCCTTGGAGCTAACAGTGGAGTATTCATGTGGGTGTTTCCTGGCAGTGTTCTCTTTCCTTTAATGCTTTGTTTATATAAAAATGTAAATTAATTTGTATTTCCTTAATTGTTGGCAAAAGAACCCTGTCCCTAGAAAGGTGAGAACCACAGAGGAAGAATTTACAAGTGAAAGGCATTCACCCCACTGCTGCACAGAGGGTCTGCAGGAGGTATGAGGGATGCACAGTAGCACCCCAGGAGTAAAAATGGAGTGGAAAGGAGTCTTCTGAAACCAGCTGGCCTGGGAGGTTAAGGATAATGAATACTCTTTTATCTGGAGTGGATGAAGAAGCTCTCTGAGGGAACAGTTCTAATCAACACACACACTGTATCGTCTCTACTAAGTAAAATGCATATGCACATAGACTGGACATAGTGGCAGACTCCTGTAATCCCAGCATTGTGGGAGGCTGAAGCAGGATTGTAAATTGTAGCCTAGCCTGATCAACTTAACCACTTAGCAAGAACGTGTCTCAAAAGAAAAAAAAAGAACTGGGGATATAGCTCAATGCAAAAGCCCTGGGTTCCATTCTCAGTACAAAAAAAAAAAGTGAATCAGCATTTGTGTGTACACAATAAAACTATTTATAAACATAAATATGCATATTTGCATTTATATCAGTACAAATTATGTATCTCAAGTAATGCATACAAATTGCATATCTCAAGTAACGCATGCCTGAACATTAACATGAGTTACCTCTGGGCAGTGAGATTACAGGTGAATTTAATTGTCCCCTCTAACTTTCTATACTCCCACATTTTACATAGTAATCATGTGTTACATTTTTGTCATGGATTAATCTTTCACAGGCTCATCTTAATTTCCCAAATAAAACACTTGTCTACTGAGAGTTTGAGTATTTTACCTTAGAGCAATATAAAATAGCAATAACTATATTTAATGACCATTTGTTTTGTGGGTTCTGTTTCAAGTGCTTTATGTACATTCTCTAAGCCCTTGCTGTGATACCTCCAGACAGGTGCTGTCCTGGCTGCTGTCTGTCATACAGTGGTTAATTTCCCAAGGCCACTGAACTTGTGGATTCTGGATGGGGCCTGTTCCCTGGAATTCTGCAACCCACACTGCATCCATAACACACCATCTTTGGAAGTCCTGGATGGCTGTAGAAGCTTCATTTTTAGTGGCTTTGTAGAGGTGGAGAGTAGAAGGAGTCATCAAGGAATTACCAAGAGAATTGCCTCAATAAATATTGGTATAGCAAAGGCCAAATGCAAGCAGAGTGGAAGCATTTAATCCAGCCACTTCCCTGGTGGCTGCTATTTGATTCTAGCTCAGGTGGAGTGCAGATTTTCACACCAAATTTGACTGCTCTGATAACTTGTAATAAATCAAATAGGATTTATTGCAAGGTATGGTCTTGCTATGAGTGGACGCAGCCTACAGTGGCTTGGACGAAAGTGCTTTTTCTTCCTTTCTCTTCTCTCACCTTCTACTCAACTGCATGGGAATTTCCTTTGCTTCTTTTCAGGGGACTTAAGATTAGATGCAACAAAAACAATAGTGGGGAGATTTTGTTTTTGTTTTTGTTTTTTTTTTTTTACTTTACCTGACTATAATTATGTGACCTGATCCACTTTTTCATTGTTTAGATGACAGGTTAACACAAATATGCTTTGTGGAGGGAACCACAGGCTGTGTTGACCACAAACCAAATGGATCTCAGACCCACACATACCAGGGAACCCAAGGGAATGCAATGAGCATAAGCTCCAGGGCTCAGACAAGAGTGGACCAAGAGAAAGACAGGCAGAAACCACAATTCCATTGCTATGCCTTGGTGACATCTGACCGAGGACTTCATTGTCTGGAGAGAGGACAGTAAGTCTGTCCTAACCATCCCAAGAAAGCTTTAGCAACTTATCAAGGACTCTGGAGGCTTTGGTACTTGCCCAAGCTCTCCAGGTCCTGGTTTGGATGTTTGGAGGGTTTAAGAGAGTAGTGACTTCCATTTTCTCCTTGATCCCCCTCTCCTGCGATTTCACAGTCTGTACTCTAAACTATTTGAGAAATTCTGAGCAGCTGAAGAAAGCAAATAGAAGAGAGAGCACAAGAATATGATCAAGTGCTGCTGAAAAATCCAATAAGTATTCCTCATTTCAGGAGCTTGATGAGGGGTGAGAAATTGTCACCGGAGACCATGAGGTCATTAAAACAGACTCTCCTGTCACTGTGGCCCTGGTGTAAAAAGGTACCATAGCCAAACATCTGGAGGAAAACAATAGTCTTTGGGTGGAAAGATCCAAAGGGCCCATTAAATTGTTAATAAACTCAGTATATAGACTACTCATAACTCTAAACACATCTCTGGCACCCTCCTACCTGCCTTGTCTCCAGTGCTCAGGGACTACACGCCCCATCAAGGCAAGCAAAGTCATGTGTCATATGGCATTTGCTTTAGCTTATCCACGGATTCAAGATACTTTTACTTGTTTCTCTTTTAATGCCCAGTGACTTCACCTTTTCCAGACTGTAGACTCCTTGCTTTTGCTTTCTGTTGTGCTTTAAAAATTTGGTTAATGGTTGAGAGTGAATCACAGCACAGGAATCAAAGCTGAATTGGCTTAATGGATAAGGAAGCTGGGAGAAAGTCATAAAATCCTGCATGTAGATTTAGTGGAACCATTTGGACTATGAGGACAATTAGTTCAAGTTCATGACTTGGTGTGCCTGGCTACCTAGCAACCTCAGTTAAAAGGTTGAC